ATTGTTAACACATGGGGATTTTAACCCAACTTGAATCTATTTTAGAAAAGCGTTGGCAAGCTCCCTATTTACCTGCTATATTTTCATCCACAGTCTCCTCCCATCCATATTTGATATGGCTTGGCAATCGTCAAGCCGACTCGAGGCTCATGTGAAAAAATAATTTCATGTCCATAAATAATCTTTGTTGAGTTTTGTTTATGCCCTGCAGTCTGTTGGCTCAGCAACAAGGCAAAAACTTGTGGGTGGTTTGGAAGATATTTATCTCCACCTCTGCTCCAAAATATTGATGTGAGGTCCTGACACGGCCACTCCGCCTCGCTCCTCTCTGAAAGCCACCATTGTATCCCACACAATGGTCTTCTTCAGGGTCCTCTTTGGACACTTCCCTGGACTTTATGCAGGAAAGCCCCCTTTTAGAGAACAAGCTTCATTATTCAGTGTCTGCAGGTTTCTCTGGACAAGCCCAAACAAAGGCCCTTTTAATTGGAGTTTTATTGAGGATTAAACCTTCAGGCCTTATTTTACACATGAGATTTCACAAAGCTTAAGGGAGAGACAGAAGGCTGACCAAGCAGACATTTGCATGCACATCCAGATAAAGGTTTGATGTTCTTGTTCTGCTCCAATGTTCTGCCTAACAGCAACATTTCCTGGCTGCCACAGGAAATAACCCTTAATTAAAGCCACACTGAAGCCTTCTTCATTCTGCTCTGCTCTGCACTTCAACTGTTCCTGGCTCCATTTGCGTTCACAGTTTTCATTGTCCTGTGAGTGAAACTTGTTCTGTCAGGATCAGGAAGACCAAAGCTCTCATAGAGTTAAAGAGCCACTAAGCAGCCTTCCCTTCATGCCTTCAGATTATAAAATCGAGATCCAAACTAGTACTTCAATTTCTACATTTACCAGCAGAAGTAAAACCAACTGTTATCTTAATGGTCTTATTGTCTGAAGGAGAAAGCTGGACTGGACTGCATGTGCGAACGGATCAGCGACCAGAAGTATGGAAGAGACAGGAAAAAAAAAAAAAATTCCAACACACAAGATAATATTTATTAAGAGGAGTGGTGAGATGGTGTGCATTCCTCTGACATTGTGTGGCCATGTTTGCTTTCCTGTTTTTAGTTTCTTATGCCATGTGTGCTGGGAGCAGTAATTGAAAGAAGGTGACAAATTTCACAAAACGACACAGACAATTTCACAGGTTTGGAAAATGAGGGACTTATTATCCAAGCTATAGTTCTGCCTTTATAAAGGAAATGGGTATTTGGAAATACTTTTCTGGCGGAAGATGCTGGTTGCCTCATGCTCCACTTCAGAATACGTCATGCTCCATCAGAACGTCAGAGTCTCCTTGCAGATCAGCCAAGCAGTGCTGGTTGCTGCTCTGCCCCGAGCCCTGATGCTGTCTGGTGGTGAACTGATCTTCAGCGCCAAGCAAAACTTTGTTGTGCAATAAATATTAATTTAAACAATCCAGACTAGTTGGCCTAAAGCTAACTGCTAGTTGGAAAGTGGCCACAACATTTTAACCCTCTATGATATGCAATGTGCCTCAAACTATGCTATGCTAACAAGCCATAGCATTTGTGGCAGACTATGCTGAGGTGAACCAGCTGTAGTGTAGCAGAGAGAAAGGAGGAGGATGTGAGTGGCGTGTACACAGGGTTGACTGACACCACTAAGCCCCTCCCCCTGGCTCTGATTGGTTGTTTTTGACCGGGAGCGGTGGATTTCTGCAGATGGCAGTGGTAGCTCAGGGAAGAGGTGTAGATTGATCTTTTCACAGATTATCTGTTTCATAACATTCTGTCATTACATGGTGGCAGTTTTAACAAATATGTGAAAAAGTGCTTTGTGTGTTTTTTTTTTTTTGTTTCTTAGAAAAGTTACTCCACCTTTAAGCAGATTCGCTCTTAGATGTGACTGAGTAATCCAGTTTCAGGAATGTCCCACGGAGACAAAGGCTTCACATCCGGACCTCTGGGAGGACATGATAGGGCGTGATGCGTACTATATGTGCTGCTGATGAGCAGAAGGCCCTGCTGATGCGAACGAGGTCAAGGCTTTGTGCTGACCCCAGGCTTCTGGGGCTTAAGCGGCACAGGTCGTGTGAATTGTCAGCACTCATCAACACGGTGGGTGAGAATGTGATTGTTCCATCGCAACAACATGCCAACATTTCATGACAGAGTTCATGATTGGCCGCACCGTCAGCGGTGCGCTCATCAGACCTTAGCATGGCCAAGCCTTACATCATTACTGAACTGAACCGGCCCCTTGCTGGTATTCAGGACAACACAGAGAAACAAGGCTTTTTTTTTTTTTTTTTTCTTGGTGTCAAATGAGAAACCACATGTTTTAAAACACCACACCCACAATTCACCTCATGGTTAATTTCTGTCTTCCTCCAGAGTTGCATGTCTTGGAGCCTAAGTACGACATTTTGAAATCTATCCAAAATACATACGATAATGGCTCTGTTATTATGACTCAGGTCATAATAATGCATTATTATGACCAATGTTATGTATGTTTTGTATAACTGAACTAAGATCAAGCAACACTGTTACTTTTACTTTAAACCAAACAGAACCCCAGAAACCTCTGTTATCCCTAAATCGGAAAGTTTGACTAACTTGTCGTCCTCCCTTTGAAACAAGGAGGGTGAGGCTGTGTTATCCTGTGGCATTTATTGGTCTGGGTGGATTTATGCACAAAGCTCACAACAGGACTTCAGAGTGAACATTTTATTTCATGGCACAAGCACATGCTCAACTTGTTTCAACACAATATTATGTTTCTGTTTCTATGTATAGACTTAAACAAATGACTTTATTGATTCTGACATGAGCTTCAGTAATAAGCTTTTTTTAAAAAAAAACAAAAAACATTATGCTTATGAATCATTGTTGCAGGAAACCCCCTCCCCAAAAAAACATTCTAGATTTGTGTAAGCGTTACATCATGGGTGGTAAAACCTGTAAATCTGAAACTAAATAATATGGCTAATTGCACTTGTGTTAGAACATGATGATCCCAGTTTGAAGTGCAAACATTTAAATGCTCATTTACAATATATACAGTGGCTATGAAAAGGTTATTGGCATGGTAAAAACTTGATCTTTTTATGAAGAAACAATAACAGATTCATTACATCATCAAATCAAATTGTGAACAAATATAAAAGTAAAGTGTAAATTTTTTTTCCATTCGTATTAATCAGCACACTCCTCGACATTTCTCTGGTGAAGAAACAGGATGCATGGATAATAATAGAGCAGATTCCTGAACAAATGTTTGGTCACAGGATGGAAAAATGATGACATGACTGATACTTAAGCTCTGGAAATCTTTCTCATAAGCCCGTCTGATCGAACAGGCTGAAGTAATATCACCAGCCGAGTTAAATGCCAAAAAGAGAGAAAAAAAAATCAAGAATTATTAAAAGAAAAACACTCCAGAATGCATCTGAACTGCCATTGGAAAGTCTGATATCTTAGGTAAATGACAAATACAACCTTTGATAAAAAATATGGAATCAGTACTCTTGGTGGTTGCTTAATGAGTTGTTTTACTGAGCGTTATTTTCCTAACGTTCAGAGGTAGCTGCTAATTAATACGTAATTTCATTATCTGTAAACTTAGCATAACACTTTGGAGTGGTCAACTCAGTCCCATTTATGGACTCCAGTTGTTTAAACTGATCCAGTTTCCTGGAGTCACTTGAGTCAGTTTTTTTTTTTTTTTTTTTTGCCAAAAAAGCAGTTGTGGCCTGAGAGGATGATTGTATGATGGGTTGAACACATGAAGAAGAAGTTAAATAAAAGGCAAATCAATACAGTTTTTGTTTAGTTCCCAACAGTCACTGTTAATATTCCTCTTCTGCTCCTGGTGCCATCTGACTGATGGTTGTATGGCTGTTTCCAATGCAGAGATTCAGAGTAAAAAATGTTGTTGAACTGGATCATCGATACAGTGGTGATTTCCACAAATCACTGTCTGCCATCTCCAGACAGAATCCTCTAAGTCTGCGGTTTGTCAGAATAATAATGCATCTTTACACCAAGCAAAGAGCATTCAAACTTTTCTTAGGCAGATCAGCTCAGTGACCTGTCCAGAAGTAGTCTGGATTTCAAACAAACGGAAAGTATGTGGTGGAAACTGAAAAACACGGTAAATGAAAAGGCTCTGCCTTTTTGGTTCATTTCCTCAACACCAAATGATTACATTTCGTTTTAATGCATAACGTGAAAAAAGAAACACCAATGAGGCAACATTTTTTTGTTCATTCTTTTTGATAAAAAATGAACGTTCAGCTAGAATCAGAATCGGCTTTTTTTCATAAAGTTTGTGCACCCAAACAAGGACTTTGACTTCGGCTCCACTTTGTTCCCCAGGAAGACAGTAAAAGTGGCCACAGAATGGTGGTGGCTGCTGAGCCTGTCGCAATAAGCAATTAATCAATCACTTTTATGAGGCAACATGAAATTGATTGCTTCTGATGATTCTGATGATTCATATTTCTTGAAGGGCAATTTTTTTAGAGACTCAATAATCTAATTTATTTAAGGTTTTGAGTTTTTATTGTAGAGTTTATTTCCTTTTTTTATTTATAGATTTTGGTTGTTGTGAGATTCTTTTGTAATTTAGTTCATCCTCAATAATGCAAGGGTGAACTTACATTATTATGCCATTATTATTACATAGTTGAAAATGGTCTCAAAACCACAATGTTATTGTTTATCTCAATAATTTCTGGGGCAATTTATCATCCACCAAAATTTACTAGAGTGACAGGCATCCAATATACTAAATACACCAGCTTTGGATCATATATGTTTTTGTTTTGTCTTGTTTTAGGATTTTTTGGACAACAAAATAGAAAAATCAATCAAATATATTCTAAGAAGGATATTTTCTGCCCCAAGTTGTATTCAGTAGTCAGCTGATTGGTAGTAAACCAGGAAAATAATATTGTTTTCAGTTTGTTATTATTATTTATTATCCAAAGCTGTGCAAAAAAAAAATTAAGAATTGGAAAACTGTATAACAACATGCTTTAGAAGATACAAGGGAAGGCTGTAAAACCTAACTGAGGCCCAAAAAACAGATTTACGTCGAATGATAGGTTCTACATAAGTTCGTACAGATACATACTGAGAATCCTCTAACTGGTTGCCTTCCTGGCAAGCCTGGACACAAATTACCTGTGCTCATTCCTCAATGAAGTTCACCTGATATGTAACCTGATTGCCATTGTCCCATGCATACAGAAGCTTATCCTTTGGGTTGTAGTCGATCTGGGTGGTGAAGGAGTACTCATTGGTGAATGGCAAACGTGGGATTGCCTCCGTATTTGTGTGGGTGTCATAGGCATAGTTCACCTCAGCTTCTTTCTGGTTGTACACATCGACAGCGTACAGGACACCGCAGATGATGAAGCAGTTTCCATAAGAGTTCCGCTTGAGGCCTGTTCGGTAGGTCGTTTCCTTTTTCAGGGACAGGTCTCCGGGATCCAGTTTACTGATCACAATCAACTCTTGCTGGTTGTAGTCATAGTCCAGAGATGGGTAGATTACCCACAGGCCACTTTCATCAACTGCAAAGTCGATATCCGAGTGTCCCCTCCACTTCCAGCGGTTGGTGTCCTCGTAGACAACGTCGTGCAGCAGAGTCCACGCTGCCATGTATCGCATCCTCAGATCATACTTAATGATGTTCTTAGTGAAAGCCCTGTTGTAGTAGAAAGCTCCGTTATAAACCACATGGCCAGTCCCGATCCAGTTGTAGGGCAGCTTGTAAAGATTACTCCAACGCCCTAGAACAAATGACAGGACAGGATTAGCTTTTACTCATTCATTACAACACTCAAGCCTCATTTGCCAATGAACACATTCTGCTTTAACATCGTATCATCACCGATGCAATCTGCCTGTGTGACAACCAATAATGTCAATGTTTATGTTATCCCATGACTGGGATTCTGTGATCCAAGAAAAACCAGGCTGTACTTTGGCCTTTTCAGAGAATATTTCTTATCCGCTCTTTAGTCATCTTCCCAGCCCCAGGCATGCTCCCTCCCTGATTGTAATGCATCTCCTGAGGCTGCATGGCCTGCGCTCAGCTATGAATACTTGATCCAAAAGTCTTATCTGCCAACAAAAACACACACTACTAGTCAAACATCTGCACATGCCCACTTAAATCAAATAAAAAGACTATCTTCAAACAGGTGGCAAGTAAAGATCTTCACAGATACTTTATTAACTCTAACCAAACTGCTCTAAAGTTCATTTAACATCTGCAGCTACATCATAAATTCTGATGGCTTATTGAGAAAAGAGGCCTCCCCCTCTGGTTCTGCTTCTGGACATAAAGGGTCTCTACAGGTAAAGGCACTGATGTGCCCCAACAAGTTAACACATTTATGTTCAGTTTAGATAAAAGACAGAAGACAGAGATGTTGATAGAGTTGTTATTGTATCCATGCTAGCTCCCATAAACGGAGCCATCAAATTAAAACCCATTCTTTATGGCTGTTGCTTGGCTTCTAACACTTTCTGTAGGGAGTTGCATCTGCCAAAAAAAATACAATCTGACTGTGAATTTATTCTCTCCGTTTGACTGAATCTGAACAAATCAGGCCTATTTATGGTGGATCAAAGTTCGAAGACAATTTAACCCCATAATATATTTGAGAAGTGTTGAGAGTTGTTAACATCTGAATCAGTGAAAAAAAGTGTGTTTTGCAAAACATAGAGAGGTCTTGATCTCAGCCATGGAAACTGAGAACAATAACATGAAATACAATTTCTACAGGTCTAAAACCAGTCATGCAATAAAACAGACAGTTTAGTCAGTTGTTCATTACTACAAAGGAAAAAACAGCCACACAGGCAATACTGGATAAGAGATGCATTATGCTTTACTTACTGTGAGTTGCAAACATGAAGCTTCCCTTGCTAAGCTGATTTTTTTTTCACAGTACCAGACTGTATGTGCACAGGCTTAGCATAACAGTGATCCTGTTTATGTAGGATTTCCCCCCTGAACTAACACACTTTGTACTATAGGTGTCACTTTCTAATCACATTCTATTTCCCATTCTAACCCTCCAATCTCAGGAAGTCCGATGTAGATAAACTGAAGCCTGTGAAGAACAAAAACAATGTGCAGCAGAACCCCTCCACCCCCACTCTTAACCCCACTCTCTCTGGCCCTGCCCCTGAGGCCAACTGGCTCTCTTAATCCTCTTCTGCTGGATTTAGTTCAAAAAGAAAGGCCAAAGCACATGTCAAGGAACAGCAGGAAGCACCGCTACTCACAGAGATACCTAGTCATCCGCACACAGCTGTGAGCTCACCACACCACAGGATGCCTCACATGTAAGTGCATTTAGTAAACCCAATGTCTAAACATATCTAAATCAATGAGTCAAGTCCAACATGTGCAGATCTTCTCCACGCTCCCAGAAACTCTGCAGTTCATTCAGACATAGGAAGGGTAAGCTTTCTCATCTGTGTACTCATCATGTTGCATATCGGTGTCTGTTCAAACTTTTATTAAGTCAAACAGAAATTAGAGCAAATACTACATGCTTTTTCTAAACCTTTGGAAAAATACTGTGTGGAAGGTAAAGACAAAAGTGTTTGGAATGTGCGTCTCCCATTAGGTCTGGCACTAAGAACTTGATGAAAAAGATCTCCATGTCAGCAATCAAACATGGTGGATGTAATGTGATGTTCTTCGTCCTGTTCCATGTCTTGAAATGGCAAAGCTGGTTGTCACTGATGGACCATGAATTCTACTCTGTACCAGAAGATACTGAAGGACAACGTACGTCCATCTATTCTTGACCTGAGTTATGCAGCTGGACATTGCTCCAAAGCACACCAACAAGTCCACCACTGAAAGACTCTTTAAAAAAGATTTTGCAATGCCCTGGTGGTTAAATCTAGATAAAATACTTTGAAATTATCTTAAACTGGCCATTCTTTAAAAGACCTTCAGTCTTGTTGCATGACAAAATATGCAAAAACACCAGAAATCTGTTTGGGATTTTTCATCTTCCATGTCACTGTATATTACCAGTGTTACCAGGGTAACATACATAAAGAGTAGTCATTTATGCATGTTATGCTTTCCTGATTGGTCAACAAAATTGTGGATCACAGTCCACTTGTTCAGTCTTTGGGTAAGTTGTGCAAAAATAACTATCTTACAAATACATAGCTATTGAAATGAATTGATAGAACGTAGCGACATCAGCTGCTGAAATACCTAAACTTTAATCTTTCCACAAGCTCAAATGTCTGGAATAAAACTGAAACAAAGCTTCAAGTCCAAACACAGGGCTGAACTATATTTTGTAGAGGATAACTATTCATTTTCTCAAAAACACCAGAATGGTGTGTACCTTGTTTGAAGTTGTCCAGGTTACGGAACTCCACCAGGTTGTTGCCATAGTAATAATTAGTCACGTAGATCTTGGAGTCCTTAGCCAAAGGATCCTTCATCCAGGCTCCCTCATTGCGCCCATAGCTGTGTTGTTTCTCCGGTTGCTCAATGGATGCCAGAGTTCCTTCACAGTTGAGGATCTTCCCTGGAAGTAACAAGCAGAAAATTCAACCTGCATGTCTGGGAAAGAATGATTCGCATTAACAGGAGCTTAAATTGATTCCATGCTTCTACATGTCTTGGCAGCTCAGGACTGCACGATGTTCTGCTGCTCAGTTGGGCGGCCTCACTGTCGTGACAGCATGCAGCAAAATACTGATCTTATCACAGGACAGAGTTCAACACATACCTTCTCTGTGGAGGCTGGGCCGACTGTTGTTGTTGGAGTTGTCCAGTACCAGCACAATAGTAGGAGCTGGTCTTTCAGACCGGGGTGTGGTAGTAGTGGGCTCTGAGGTGGTGGACATTGTGGTGGTGGTGGTAGTAGTGGCGGTGGTGGTGGTAGTGGTATCAATGGGAGCTGTAGTGGGGTCAAAGGTCTCAGCCACAGTTCCCTCAACAGGCTCTAGGATAGTTTCAGTCCCTCCATCCTCAGGCTCATTTTCTGTTAGGTGATGGACCGGGTGTGTTTTCACAGAGTGGTCTGAGGTGAAGGAGCAGACGATAAGGGGAATCAGAATAAGAGAGACAATGCCTGGCGGATGACTGCTGTTAGAATGGATAAACACTGCTTTCTTCTTCTCATTGAGCCATTAGGACCAAAGTATCAAGGTCACTGTGGCAACAGAGGTTTTTGCTTTATTATCAAAAATGTGCAAAATAAAAATGTTAACATTTATGAGTGTACTTGTAAGCATATTTATTCCCTCTAGGCAGAGGTTGACTGATACATCAGCCGGCCAATATTTTGTGTCAATATTTGTGTTCATTTCTTGTGTTGACATCGGCCGGTGCGTGCATTTGTTTTTCAGTTCATTAGTGCAGCAGCTATGCTTTGAGGTCACATGACCTCATACAATGCTTCTCCATCCAGGCAGAGAACTGCTGACAATGTTGTAAGACTGAGTGCCGACAACAACCAGAGTAAGTTTTAACATTTTAATACATATTTAGCTCTCTGATTTAGCTGTATCTTTGAAAGTCTTAGTCTCCCTGTGAGCAGTGGAACAGTGGCGTTAAATGTTCTATGTTGTTTGTTATCCATTGTTAGTATGTTTTCCTTGTTTTGTTAAGTGTTTCCTTTTTGTTTAAATTGAGGCTTTTAACATTTGTTGTCATTGTGTCATTTTTATTATATAAATGGAGTAAGAAAAATAAATATCAGCTTCAAGAATTGGCCAGAAAGAATCGTCCACACATACTGGGGATCGGTTTGACTGATGTCAACATCATCAGTATTGGCACCATTCTTAAAAAGCCTGTCAGTCGATTTCTGCCTCTTAGTTACCAAGTGTGCAACTGAAACGTATCTGCTTCTAAGGGCCGCTGCACCACAGGAAGATATTTGATGTATGGAGTTTTTCCTAAAGCAAGAAATCGAGGACCAACCTTTTAGATACAGCAACCATCTATGAAGTGGTGGATCTTTCCACTGCACGCATTTGGAAATGTTCATATGCAAAACATAAAATACCTCAAAACAAAGCAGTGGTCAGTAAGTAGTTGGATAAATCCCAGGTCAGAATGGCAAAAGAAAAATGAAAAAAAGAGACTTGTACTTGGCTTGTTGAGGTGAAGAGCAGGAGATGTGGAACAGAACAGCCAGATGGGAAACAACTGAAGCTTGACATGAAGATATCAGATTAAAAATACAGCATTATTACTATTTGTCAACATTAAAAAGCAACTCTCACCAAGCAAAAAGGGCAACAAAATTTGGTTGGAAACAAAAAAAACTGTAAGAGTGGAAATAAAGTAGAAAAAAGCCTTTGACTGTTTAAATGTCGACTGAGGTTTAAGATTAATTTTACTAAAAGCTTTTAAGAACTGAGAAGTTCTCAAGTAAGAACTGTTGAAATGTTCTATCAGTCAACTCCGGTCTCAATTGCTATTTCTCCTGCTAAAAAGTTGACAGTCTGATGGTAGGGCAACCTTCCACTGGTCCTGAAACTGTTGCATTCCAAGCTGGCCGACAGATGTGTGGGGAAAGTCTTCCTGACACACATGCTGACACCACATGGACCTGAGGACAGCGAGAAGAAGCTGCTTCTCCTGGAAAGATTTCAAGCTATTAAGCTTTCTTGGTATCAGCAGGTCCTTCATATAGGTTTGGATTGTTCCAGAGATCAGAGGCAGCAGGGCCACAGCAGAAATAAACATGTTTTATGGCTCTAGTTAAACCTGATCTGTTTAAACTGTATCGAGGTCTGACGGTCACCGATTCACTTGGACGTGTTGCACAGAGAAAGCAAAGTGTCCTCAGCAGCAGAATGCTTTGAGGTTATATAACAGATAACATCATTTAATTGTTGATTGATGGGACAGATATCTGTGCTCAATAAAGCCACACAAGGGACATAAAAAACATGCAGCGTTAGAACAGATCAAACACTCTTAAATGAAGCTTGATATTATAATAAGGTACAGTAAGCATTTATAATTGAGTCATTTTTTGCATGATGATACCACATGTCCACCATTCTAGTTGCATGACAATACTGAATTATAAAAGTAGAATGAAGTATTGTATTTATTATAAACATATTGAAGATAATGCAGTAATATTGTCTCTGAAACCACATGATGTGCTGTTAGAACACCCACTTCAAAAGAGAGTCACTAAACAGAAAAGAAATAAAGGTTTTTCATTTTGGTCTCTTTTGTTTATAACAGATTTCTGTACTGTCACGGAACGACTTTTGGGATGTGATATGTCAGGCCTGCATTATATCAGGTCAACATATACAGTGCTTATAAAAAAGATATTCATCCCGTGAATGTTTTACCCTTTTATTTATTTTAAAAATCAATTGGGATCAATAAAATTAGCCATTTTACAAAAAAAAACTTCAAAGTGAATACTGAGTTCTACAAAATGACAATTTTCCCTGTTTTTCCATAAAGTAAGTGATTTTATAATTTGGTACCCCATTTAAAATGACTGGCCTAATTCAACACAGGTCCAGCCAATAGATAGTTTCTCAGTGAGTTGAATGGAGATCAGAGTTTAGATTTGTTGCCCAAGCCTGACCTGAACCCGACCCAAAAATCGGGCCGGGTCAAAATTATTGATCTGGGTTTTCTATTCGTTTCTTTCTGTAGCATTAATTTTTTTGGATTTAATAAGAAGCTGCAGTCTGACATGTTTGTACTGTGCTGATAGACATTAAAAATGAAGAGAGAATTTTCTAGAACAAGATGATATTTGGCTATAGACACTCCTCAGTTTTTCATGTTTTTATATTTATGAAGGTTTAAGGAAGTAATTTTGTTTTAAATGTTAGTTTAGAAACGTCCCTCTCCATTCATTTCCTATAGACGTTGTGCGATGAGGCGACAGTCGCTTGTCCTCATCCAGCTGAGCGACCGCCATAATTAAAAAGCAAATAAATAAAAAGTTAAAAATGTTCAACTTTGTTTCTGTCTGCAGTCACAGAGAACTTTCCCCTTTCTCTGTCGTTTGTCACTCACTGTCTGTCGAGCCGATAACAGTGTGAACTACACAACCATCCACAGGAGAGAGGCTTTTGATTAATCTATATTATGTAATGTTAACACTTTAACATCTTCAGAATAACTACATGCATTGATGCGTTAATATTGACAGCCCTATTATATATAGGCAGACAGGGACACAGGAGAGTGACCTTTCTCCTTCCATTTAAAAAGGTGTCACCCTCTGCCCCCGTATTTGAAATGGGATTTTTGCCCCTGACTATATGTGATGAAAGTCTAGATTTGTAACTGCCTTTTCTAGCTGATTTAAGGGTCACTGCATCCTGCTTCAGCAGAAGCAACAGGTGCAGATGTTTGACAAGGGTGGTTGTGGTCTGTCAGATTCACATACATGGCAGAACATAGCTTCTGACAGCTCTATGCTGTGAAAACGCAGCAGCCCTAATCACCCCTCTTCAGTCCTGTAGAGGATTCAGGAAACGGTTTCTCTTAGATGTGAGGGTCCTTCTCCCTCACTGAGGGAAGCAGAGCTGAGGCTTGTCATGAACATGGCAGCTCTGCATTCAGACTGTCCTCTATGGCTTCCATCTCTACTGCTGATGTAGAAAAGCTTTGATTTCCTGCTAATAGAAACCCCAAGGCCAGAGCAGATAAAGAGCTGCACAGTGTCGTTTTCTATAATCATTCCTTTCGCTTCAAATTTTAGAAAATGAACGAAACAATGAGAGCCTTATCCTGCAGTTATTTAAAGATTGTTCTGGGAACACTCCTACTGTCCCAGTAAATACTGACCCTACTTGCCTGGTGCTCTCTGATTCAGAGTCATGTGGGCTCAGAGACTAATGAGTGTGGATCAGACCCAGACCACACTCACTGCAGATGGCTAAACATATTTACCTCACATTGACTTGCTCATCATGAATGTTGACTGGAGAGTACACAGTTTGCTTAGATCAAACTTAAAACTCGTACCTCCTCTTTGGTCATCTTGGTTGGTCTTGGAGGCCTTGTAGTATGTGATGCTCCTCACCACGCCAGGCTGCTGGCCACCCACCTTCGTTTTTGGAGTCGGGTCAGGCTTAGCCGGTTTCCCAGGCTTTATGACATCTTTCTTGGGCTTGACTGATTTTTCTTTGGGTGCCTTTGGGGGCGTTTTGGCAGCAGGGGTCTTTTTGTTTGCTACCTTTCCTGGAGGCTTGACTTTCTCATCATGAGTGTCCTGTGAAGACATCATAGGTTTGGCAACAGAGGCTTAAGTGCTTCTTATGGAATGGTTTGATTTGTGGTGTATTTTTAAGGTCTGGGCTAACTTCTATAAAAATATCATAAAAAGTCTTTGTTCATGATGTAAACTATTACAGGTAAAGCTAAAAAAATGTGAATATTTGAAAATGTATATTTTTTGTCATGCATTTTTGAAAAGTGAACTCATATAGGTTATTTATACACAAAGTCAAAAATGAATATTAATTTCATGATTATGGCTTGCAGAGAATGAAAACCCAACGATCTGTGTCTTAGAAAATTACATTATTACTCGTTACATTTTGAGCTTAATAGCATCTGTTACTGCGTTAACAGTGACGGCCCTGATTTTAAACATAAATCTCAAACTTATTTGTATGGACTCAGTACTTGTTTGGGGTTTCTGTAGCATAAATCACTGCATCTCGTTATTCTGGCTTTTACCAAATTAAATTAATTAGAAATATAAACTGACCTAAAATAAAAAGCTCACTGCATGTTTTCAAGGGAACATATCATGCAAAATCCACTATTTTGAATACTTTGAGAGTCTAGGAGCTTTTACATTCATATTCTCTCCAGGTGCTGGATATCTTTATATTCTTTTTGGACTATATTTTTCAGTCAGTTCATTTTTCTCTATTCCCTATAAATAGAGATTCCCTATTTTCTTGGGTATGATGTAATCACATTTGCTGTGGAACTGCTAAACAACGTCACGACTTCCAGCTAATCGGGTTTGTGAAGCCGCCGTTTTTTTTCCTCACAGCCATTTTGTAGTCCAAGTTCAGATATGTCGAAATTGCAAGTAAAATATTTGATTCTGGTTTGTGTTAATGCATAAGAGTCCTTACATCAGAGCCTCTTCAAAATGGTTAATTTAGATTTTTCTCAGGGATGTACCCACATCAGTTTTTGGAGCACAGATTCAGCAACCTCAGTCACTTTTCTCTCTTCTGAAACGAGGGACACAGCAAAACGACAAGCTCCAAATAATAATGATTTACATGTCAAAAAGAAGGATTTAAAAGTATGATATATCCACACTGTAAAAAAAGTAAGAAAGAAAGAAAAAGAAAAAAAAAAAAAACATCTGTAATTTTCAGTAAAATTCTGGCAGCTTTTTATTGTATAAATTTTATTGTATAAATATGGATTTTAACATATTTATATGGGAAAATTTTGGTAACCACAGCTACCAGTATTTTACAGTTAATTAGAGACTTTTGTTTTTTGCAGTGCACTTTAATATCACAGTAAGAGTTATGAAGTGCTTTTGGTACCGTAAATGTAAATATCTGGTTGTTCCAGCACAACCTAAGTGTATCACAGCCATTAATAATATATCAGTGCTGATTACTTTTCAGTGAACTCATATTTCTGTATTAAAAATGTTTTTTAATTGGTGTGATGTAATATTGTAATCTTTAATGTCATGTTTTCAGCTGCATGCAAAAAACATCATGATTTACATAAAAAAGGCTTGAAAAGTGTGTGTGAAATTAATCTGAGTTTTTTAAATAAATGAACTTTTTCCATATGATTCTAGTTCATTGAATCTGACTGCAACTTTGCCATTTGCTATTGTGAGATAATGTATTTATTTTAAATATCTTTTATGTAATTTTGCCTTTATTTAAAATAAATGATTAAAATTGTGTTTTACACTCTCTACTCTCTCATTCACACAGTGTGACATCACCTATACCCCTATAAAAAAGAATTGACATAGCTGTTGTTTGCAGTTCTTAGAGATCATTTGAAATCAGATAAAATTTACTCTGATCCTTTCAGCGGTGCATCTCTATTCTGGTATGGTGTTTCAGGAAAACCAACCTACCAAGTAGTCCAAATGTTAGTTTTTATCAGCTTCCTTGTAAATTAATTAAAGTTTGCAGCACTGCACAATTGTTCCATTTTATGTTGTTAGTCCTAAGTGGTCCTAAGTGGAGCATATGGTGTCTATTTCTTATTGATCCTCCCAACAACAAACCCAGATGTCTCAGAGCTCTGAGAAGTTGATACTGAGTTTAGAAAAAGCTACCTTCAGCCATGTTTTATTAAAAATAAAGCTCACAGTTACCCATCAGAACGCACTCACTGGGTTCTGATGACCATCAACGGCTCCTAAAGCTTCACTCGTCTCAGGGGAACTACTAGTACCAACTCTAGGTTTAGGGTACGGTTCTATCACATGTCTGAAAACAACAAAACTGACTTTATCCCAGATTTCTGGAATGTGTTAAAGGACTTTAATGTCAAAAAATGATGTAAATTAACTAAATGTCTGATGACTGAAATGGATTTTACAAAGCAATCTGAAGCTTGTGTTTTTACTCTGCGAGGGCCCTTAGATTTCAGTGATGTGGAAAACATGTGTGGAATTTAATAAACAAAATAGAATCCACGATAAAATGCGGAATTTCACAGAATTTGCTGATATCAGTGAGAAGTGAAGGACATCCGGTAATATCTGTTGCTGTTACTTGGTTAGGCCGGGGTCTCGTCTCCTCTCCACACAGACGGAATGAACCGGTCAGCCATGGACAAAAACTCTTCCCAAAAAAATAAAATCATAACTCAAAGCTTAGAGCAGGGTTCCGGGCCAGAAAGTTTTATGAAATACAAGTAAACTTCTCTGTACGTTTCGTTAGCACAAGATTGACTGGAAGTGCAACAATATCACAATTATTAAGAAACACAGAAGAGAAGAAACTAATTTCAGCCTGTCACGTCTGCCAACTGTTGAACACTTAAATAAATGAGTGGAAGTGAAAGTTGGAGGTGATTATTTCTCCATCTCCCAAATCCTGATTGCTATGGAAGTGAGCACAAGCTTTTACGTTTTAGTTTGCTTTTTTTTGTGTTCAGTTCAATTCTAAAGCATTTTTAAAGGGAGATTTTCCTTCATCTTCAAAATGAGATTTTTAGTTTAGCTCATAAAGTTTGAGGTCATAAAAAATGAGGGGAAATACTTCTTGACTCCTTGTAAAGCCAATGTTCAGTGTTTTGTGTTTGTGAAAAAGAAAACAAAATAAATGTGTACCTCTGGCTATTGACTTGTTATAATGTTTTCATTCACACCATACTTCTGTGCTTTTTGGGGTTAATAGATTTGACTAAAACTGAAACAATGGAATTCAGAATAATAAAAACAGAACAAGTGAAATTTGGGAGAACGTCTGCACTAAGAAATGTGTCCAAGTGTCAGAACTGATAATGGACACATTACTGTTTTTGCATTATCACCTAATACTTAGACACATTCCGTCTACTTCCTGTGTTACCAACCTGTGCTTTGCTCTCAGATGCGTCCTTTTGCAGCAGCTGCAGGCTGAGCGAGGAGATCTCCTTCTTGATGCTCATCATGATGTTGGAGTAGTTCTCATATTTTTTAAACTGGTTGGTCAGGCTCGTCATGCTGTCCCGTACATATTCATTCTCTCGTGTAAGGTTTGTTTTGATGGTCTGTAAGACAGCAGGGAGTAAATGGACATGCAGCAATATAATGCTGCACTGTGTGTGAGTGTGTCAAGTTCCCAACCTCTTCCAGGGTGTTCATCTGAGAGACCACCTTGTTGATATAGGAGTGGACCTTCAGTAGATCCATACTGTACAGGGTTCCCTCCAGGAGGTCCACCATAGACTGGAGCTGCACAGTCAAACCAGAGAAACAGAAGGCCGTCCGTCATCCACCATCAGCTAAACCCAGGCCTGGCAGCTCTACGTGCCTGGAAGTCTTCATTTTCTGCCTAAATTCATATTAATGCACTGAGAAAACCTGAAGCGGAAGAGCTGAAGATGGTTTTTCTGTGTTGATGCTTGTTGACTGTCCATTTGTCTTAATTTCATTTCATGTCTGAAAGAATTCTATCAGTGGCAGCAGGACACAATCACATTCCTTCCAGTTCTGTAAAAATGATCTCCCACCTTCCACATTTCTTCTCTTTTTACTCTTTTTTCACTGATCAGAACAAGTTCCACTTAGCTTCACTGATGAAACCTTTCAATAGAATCCTTGGACTTTAACAGTGCATATCCATACAGAACTGTAATATTACCATAGATCATTCTGGGGATTTCATGTTTTATACCCTGCAGGATTTTCTGGTTTGCTGTGTGAAGAAGACACAACGCTGAATTAGTTGAAACTAATTAACATACATCAAAATACCCCAGAACTAAATCTGGATATTCATAATTCATACTGAACATTGACATCATTTTATTGGTTCTATGTTTTTCTGTTTTTACTTCTAGTAGTTTTAGCTTCATAATTGTATATTTTCCTAAATGTTTATTCAATGTGAGTTTATTGAATAAAATGTTTTAACTATAAAGTTTAATTTTTCCATTAATAAAAGTTTCATATTTGAGAGAAGTTGTTTGTGTTAACGCCAGTGCTGGATTTATGCATAGGTTTTATAATAATTATCCATTATTATAAAACATAGCCTCTCATCAGGCGGGTTATGAGTTTACTATTTCGACTCAGTGTTTCTATTAATCTAAATTACTTGTTTATTAAGAATTTCCTTAAAAAAATATTATAATTATTCATAGCCAAACTTGACACCTTTCTAAAAGATTTTAATGTAATTAAAAGTAAAAACAGAAGAAATGGGTAAGAAGGCATCACCATAGTGGTCTCCAGATTAAATCTTGATATTTTCTCATTTGTAAGATTTTATTTGCATTCAACAAGCATCCTATAGTAATTGATTTCTTTGCTTTTTCTATACTTTTCCCAACTCTATCCTTCCTTGTTTTGTGTTCCAGCAAATACTTTCCCCTGACCTTGGATGGATAACCTGTTGATAGTGAAACAAAGTGATGCAAGACAATACATTAACATTCCTCTGTGTGTAGAGACATTATTGCTCTGTGTCCAACAAGTAATTAATGGACTTTGACTATCTTCCTCTAGATACTAGTTTTTCTTTTAATAGTGCAGATTTTCAACCCTTTATTAAAAAATAAAGGAATAACAATCTCCATCTTCTCAAGCTTTAAAAGTCCAACAAAAGAATATAGACAAAAAGTGATGTCCCACCAGTAGGTTGTTAGATATGCTACTATCCATAGCATTTTATAACAACTGAAGGTAACAGTCATTTGATTGTGCTATAAAAAGTTAATATATGCCTGGATATCACCATACTGCCTCTTTAACAAAGCATTTTGTCCACACGTGCTGCTCTCTGGATCCTCTTTGCTTTACATCCTTTGTAAACCCAGCAGATCTTCTGAAATACTCAGATGAGCCCATCTCACACAAGCAATCATCCTTTATTCATGGTCACTTAGTTCAGCATTCTCAGTTTGAACTCCTCCAAGTTGTCTTCACCATGTCCAGATACCTAAACTGGTTGATTGACTGAAAAACGTATCATGATATAAGTCTTTCATACTGGTTGATATTGAAAATTACTGATTGTTTTTTTGTTTTAAATATCTGAGATACTGAAACCTGAAACTGCTGCTGCACACATTACTCAATAGGCTGTTGCTACGTAACCAACAGGTGAGTGAGTTAATTGATGCTAGCTTAGCTGGCTGTAAGAGGTTGAGTGGCTTTATCAGCACCTTTCCTCTCCCTACATCTCCTGGAATGCTGCACAGATCAGAGTTCAATGAAATTACTGAATATTTTGAATATTGAATATATTATCAGATGTATTATCTATGGACATTGATTATGTGTCTCAAAGGAGGAGTTCAAACTGAGAATGCTGAACTAAGGAGAATCATGTGTCTACCGTGACATGTATTGTTATTGATTCATTGTCCAGCCCGACTCCACCATCCTCACCTTTAATAACTCTGGGGCCTGTTTCTTCAGCTTCTCCATCTTCCACTCGTTCTCACAGGGGTTGAGTGAGGATGGCGGAGCAGTGCAGGAGCACTTACAGTCTGATCCCGAGCTGACCGTCTCCACTGTATAGAAGTCCTCCACGCGCACGCTGCCGCTGCGCAGCCGCAGGCAGGCATCCTTACTCAGAGGCCGCATGATGCACTTACAGCGGCAGTCGGAGCCCTCTGATGTCATCCTGACAGGCTCAGTGTCCCCAAAGATCTGAAAGACACGATATCAAGCAACATTCTATGTTAGGGTAATAACCTAATAGGGCCTAACCTGCCAATACCACTTTTTTTGTGTGAAATGTTGCTACATGTGGCAATACAGTTGCTGAGTTGGCAACAGTGGGGTGACTATTGTTAAGGAGTCACACAATATCTGCAAATGTACAGATACGACCTGGTGGGCTGGTCTGTCAGTCAAATCTCTCTCACTGCAGAGCAGAAGAGGACAGTGGCTGATTTTAGATCTTTGCTGAGATAGACTGCATTGGTGGAAAAGATCAACTTCACATGTAAGCATCAGCCAATCCCTGATCTCTCAAAATTAAAGTAATCAATTTTGAGAGATCAGAAAATCCAAACTGTCAGTTTGGATTTTATTTATCTTCACCATTTAATCATGGTGTGGAAAAGTCTCCTCGCAGTTTAAATAGTTATGTTTACTGAGGGTATAAATTAAAGTGTTCTGTTCCTTCCTGCAAGGAAGACCTGAGGTGCCTTTTCCAGTCATCTGAAACAGAGGAAGGAAAGTGATTCTGAAAAATAAACTCATGCTTCCTCTCTTTTGAATGTAAGCTGGTGTGACTCAGACGAAATCCTCTGAGAAATACATAATTCAGTCACCCGCCTCAACAGCTGGCCATTGCCTGCCATGGTTGATGACAGACTCCTTGGTTCACCTAATAAACAGGAGGCAAGGCATGGCAGTCTGAACAGGGCATTCCACACATTTCCTATGTCAGGCACACCGCCTTACATAAAGTGAAGATCGCTCTCACACAAGAATTCAGCCAGACAGATTTATTGTAAAGTCTAAAAAATGCTCATGCTGGGTTGGTGTTACGGTCACTGACCTCTAGGGGCTCTCTTTCTGAGAGCCCTGTGTTTTTCTGTTTCAGTTCTGCCTGATTGCTGCAGGTGAAGTGTGTTGGGGCTGGTCAGCCGCCCTATATAAGCAGCAAGCTGGAGATGCCAGATCCCCTCCTTTTGTTTGACCTGTGATCCTGTGTGGGACCTGATTGTGTGTTTGAACTGAGCTTGCTGTGAGCATCTTTGTGAACAATTGTTCAGGAAGTGTTTTTGTTCAGAGGTGGAAGCTGGTAGGGGTTCTCTGCCATTTTTGTTGTAACCTGTTTCTCCTGTTTTTGGTTAGTAAGGGAGTTTAGGTTTTGTATTTTCTTTTAGTTCTTCTTTAGCAAGTGGTTGTTTTATTTTATAGTTATAAGGGGGTGTTTTATTATTTTGGCCTTGGAGACCCTGAAACATTAAGCTCCCCTATGTTTTTTTTATGTCTCCTGTAGTTGTTGTTTTATCAGGATTGTAAAATAAATTATACTTTTTTTTTTTTACTCAACTGTTCGGATTACTTTTTATTTTTATATTAAAGCCCAGTGCCAGAATTTATTTTAGGGTGGGGTTGTAACAGTTGGTTATAGTTCTGCTGAAAAATTCTCCAACTGATCTAAAACCACCTGAATGGCTTCACAGCCCTTCCAGCTTCAACTTCAATGTGTTTTGAGTCATCAAAACATTTGTTTTTCTTTTTTTATTTTATTATCAGAAATACAATATCTAAACACAGGATCATTTCAAGATAAACCATCCGACTCTAACACAGTAGGAAATGGCATGATGTCGTGATCCTGTTGCGGATGCAACACTAGAATATGGTGAATGTCTTGAATCTCTATTTTGACTTATTAAAGTTGCAGTTTGTAACTTTTACAAAAATTTTCTTTTACATATTTGTTGAAACTGTCACCATGTGGTGACAGGATCTATTATGAGAATCTGAGGGCTCCAAAGTGATGTACACTACATTTAGTCATTCACAAACTGATGGTGGTGAACTACTGGATTGTAGCCACAACTGCCCTGGGGCATTCTGACAGAAACAAGGCTGCCACCAGGTCCTCTGGTCCCCAGCAGGCAAGGTGGCTGAAGTGTCCTGAAGTGCCCAAGGACACAAAGACTGAGATGAACAGAGCAAGGGTTCGAACCATCAACCCAGCGATTACATGTACTCCTTCCTCCTGAGCCGGGTCAGCCCAGAATAGGGGTATAACATAACATTTGATAATCTAAATTTGATCTGACTGGAAATGATCCTACTGGTGTTAATTACTGTGTGACTGAGAAGACTTGGCTGCAGAGTAACAGCTCATGGGACCCAAGCTGGCTGAGACGGTCATCCCACTCGGAGAGATTTATGCTCCCGGATCAACTGCAGGACAGATGCACATGTGCCATGAGCTCACAGATCATTTTTATTAATGAGCTGTGTTCTTTCAACTGTCTTCCTTAATAAAACACAACATAAGAAGATATATTGGACATTCCAAAAATTGTATGTATCAAATTTTAGCCTAATGTGATAACTGCAAACAATTTATAAAAGACCTTTCTTAAGACGCGGGAAATTAGCATTCTGTCATATTTTGGATAGTTTCATCTGGAAATTTACAAAACAAGATAGGCTTGGTTATTTGTTATATTGTTTATCATTTATTGTGATAAGTTTCATATCTAAAGATTTTGATTCATTGTCATGACAAAGTCCAACTAATGATGGTTTTAAACCCTGTAAGCCATCCATATTGTTGAGGTTTTTACAATTTTTCAATCTTCAATCAAGGTGTATCAATAAATACACTTCTGCACCTTCATAATTAGAAAATATGATTGAATGCAATTTCAGTGACACAAATTATGCTTCTTTATGTGGCTGCTGTCCTAAAGAAGCGTACTACAAATGGGAATGTTTTTCCAAGATGAGTGTTTGTGTTGGAGGGGCTGCTGTGTAATGAAGCCACAGGCATACAGTTATCTTAAAAAAAGTAGAAAAATAGCATCACTTTTATTATCACAATAGTACTACAAAGTGTCATGATAAAACTTTAAGTCCATATCATCCAACTCTACAAGATTAGTTGTTTTGGAAACTGAAAGGAAACCTTTATTGGAGAATTCGGCTCACGGCGTTGTGGAGAGCTTTTGTTAAACTGAGAAAAAAGCAGATTCCATTAGAGCCTCTACAATTATAGTATTGTCCATTTCTGATATATGAAGCTGACAAACAGGAAGAATGTCATAAAGTGCTTATGGCACGACAATCCTCCCACCATCGTGGAAAGTAAATACACACTATTATAGTCGAGGACAAGAAGACACATATTACAGCTAATGAGAGGCAGTGAGGCTGTCGGATGTGGGAATGTCAGGGTGGTTAAAAACTGACCAGCTGCCAGATTTTCAACCTTTTCCAAGCACTTTTAAGATTTTTTGGTTAGAAAGGCTGCAGGCTTAGTAAAAACAGAGGCATGAGTCATAAAAGAGGTGGTGGTGGTGGGGGGGGGTCTCATTAGTGCAGGAATGTGGGCCAACTGATGGGGAAGATGCAGAGGGTGAAGTGCGTGTTCACCCCTCTGTTAGTGCAGGGATGGGGGGCCAAGCAGATCCTGACCTACGTTGAGCAAAAAGCAGCAGGTTGACAAACACAACAGCCACAAGAAAATAAGGTGAATCTGCGTGACACTGTGGCTTCATGCTGCTGGCTGCACTGCTCAGACACTGCACAGCTTTCATATTCCAGCAAGTTTGACTTTGCAGCCTTTACATTGTTGGCTTTTCCCGTAGACAGCAGCAAGTTATCAGAATGAATCAAAATGATCCTTCAGACCAGCTAGTTCCTCATTCTGTCAAGTCACATGTACCAGTAAGCGTATCTAATTATCCCAAATCTCATGCCAAGCTGACCTACCAGCATGAGAACGGGCAAAACAGTTAAGATTTTCAATAATTAAGGATGCAGAGTATTTAACGCATGCTTTGAACTTTGACCTCTAAAGTGCAGTCAAGTTTTAGGTCAAAAAGCACACAGCTCAACCGGCACAGTGAGAGGGGTAGAGCCTGCATGCTGCAGAGAGCCATATTAGATCAGCCGCAGAAACGTTTGACAGCTAACACGCCCTGACAAGCTACAAGGTGAAACCCAGAATTGTTCAAAACACACTGCATGACAGGAGTTTCTGTCAGATGCAGCCTGTTCTATCAGCAGCCATGTTCACATACCCTGTGATGTCGTCTCTCGGCCTGCTGAGATCTGTCTATCTATCCGCTCTATCTGTCTGTCCATCGATAGAGCAGTGGTTTGATTGCACAATAATGTCAAAGAAAAAAGCCAGTTCTAAATCAAATCCAGATGAAACAAATTTAAAGTGCCTTAAAGTGCATAATAACCAGTCCTCAACTCTAGCACTTTAGTAAAAGTGTTAATGCTCATGGTAATAAAAAAAGCCAAACTAAACAACTGGAATTAGCACCAGGCTGTTAAATAGCCAAAGACAAAGTTTATCAAGCTCTTATTGCTTTTGAAAGCAAACATCTACATTCCAGCTGAGTCTGTTTATGTCTCCAGATAGTCTGAAGCTTTCACCGTGCAGAACGGCTCTAAAACATAATGACCTCGCTCTGACATGAAGCGGCCTAAAGATTTGTCAAGGTTCAACTTAAAGGGACAGTTCAGAGTTTTTGAGGTGAGCTCCTGTAACAGTGTCTTTGACTCTAGGAGACGGATGTCATAATGCAGGGATGAGTTTGTTGAAAAGGTGAAACAGCTAAAATGAAAAATGTTAATAAGACTGATCAGCTGATCAGGCTGATTGAATAAAGCCTCAACATGTATAACTTTGGTTATTAACAGACGATTTCCAAATAACACATCATTTTCAGGTTGACTTGTGTTCAGGAACTAAAATCAGAAGCTTTGTCTGACCAGTTAATTTTCTACCACTCATGGAAGATGTTACAATATGTCATCTTTCTATTACAGCTAACAGAATGATTACTATGAACACCGCAGAATTTCAGTTCAATAAAACACCAAACCATCCTCTTGAGTCTCATTGAAGATCTTGGCAAAAACCTTTAAGCCAAACTATGGGTCTGTTTAAAACATGAAAATCTTATGCAATGCAGAGATAAATATAAATCAGTCAGCATGACTCCTTGATAAAATCCACACACTGTAATAATCCTATCATAAGCAAAAAAAAGGGACAGTTCCTTAATTAATAGTGTGTGTTTGGTGACCTCAATTATGAGAGGAATGGCTGATGCTGCCAATGCCTTTTCCCCAGATGATGTCTTCAAAGAGATGTTTATTAGATCTGGCACAAAGCTGTGCAGCTCTCCGCTGCTACGGATACACACGTTATAATCCACTCCTAAAGTGGAAATACAATATTTCATTTAAACCATCAAATAAACACATCAAGCAACCTAATGAATAATTTAGTTTCCTCAAAAGTTGGTATGTTTCTGTCTGTCCCACTGGTGTATATCTATAAAGTGGTTTGGGTAAAGCTCCACTGAACTTCAGTTTGTCAGGTGTTTTTTCCAATCAATAAATGTTGTCAGTGGAAAAGAGGAACTTGATCATACATTTTGCAAAGTTTGCAAAGTTTACCTTATTAACAGATTGGTCAGAAAAACATAAAAACAAACAAAAGAAAAACAAATGCAACAAAATGAAGACAGCTATGGTTTTCCAAATTAACCGCCTGAAATTGGAAGTTGATGAAATAGACACTAGACAAGGTAGGGGATAATAGTGAAGCAAAATAAATATGATACATGTTTGATCTGACAAGTAAACATCTAGAAACTGAAATGTTTCCCAATTGGCTAACCCTACCCTAACCAAAGCAATGGAGGCATGCTGCTTATTTAGACATGCCTTGGTGTTTGTATTATTATTCCTACAAACTGTGTTTTAATATCCTCAGCCTAGTCAATAAAATGAAACAAAAGCTGGTGACTGTGGGCAGACTCTGCTAAACCTGCTATGACTTCAGACCACTGATGGGTATTTATGAAGACATGGTTTATACAATTCAACTTTTAAATTTCTTTTTCTAAATTCAGACAAGCTAGAGGTTTTTGTGTTTAGACCGGACTATTGTAGGAACTCAGCCCTGACCTATTTGTTTGCTCTGAAGGACATTCCTTTGGCCTCCACACCTACACAGTGGTAGTTTGAAGTTATGTCTGGCTGGCACATGTAGATTTAGATTTCAGACAGAGTAAACTTCCTTTCAACCTGTGCAACACCCTAAAATTAGGAAGATCCTTGCCTAAAGTAATGCAGACAAACTAGTTAATGGAGCAGGTCATCCAGGGCTCATTACCGATTTTCCATAATTATGGTACATAAGTGATGAAAAGGTGGATGAGCAAAAAATGTTCTTTGCATTATATTTCAGTCATTTTCAATCATTTAAACCTCCAACACATCTCATAATTTCAGGAAACCAAAATTATGAGATGTGGTGTTTTAGCAGTGTTTGTTAAACAAACAGTGGTGTCATAAGGAAAACCACTTCAGTGGAAATGTGCAGCCATAACAGATAATAAATCTATCACAGATGTTAACCTTTAACCTCTCATCATACCGTTGATGTCAGAATGGTTTACAGTGTTTAAGCTTCAAGACACAAACATCAACCAAAACCCAAAAGAATGTGCATCACAGACAAATTGTAAGCATGAGGGAACTGAAACACTGTGTGTGTTCACACATGGATGTTATTATGTTTTATGGAGATATACAGTGGCAGCCATCTTAATAACAAATGGGATAAAGGTACATGTTTCCCTGCACTTTGGACTGGGTCAACGCAGGTCTCGCATTAGCCAGGAGAGGGCGCTGCTGCAAGAACTCAGCTAATAAAGTATAGATTACAGTGTAGTGTAAATGCTAATTTTTCTAAGATTTTCTTGAAGTTATACATTAGCTACATAATTTTAGCATGTGGGTTCTGTTCGCTTTACAAGTTAAGCTTCTGATGGGCTTTTACACTTGTTTTCTTGTAGAATTGCTTTAAATCCATCCATCCGTCCACGCTTAATCCCTAATGGGATCACGAACGGTGCTGGTCAAAGGGCGAGATTTGGGGTCACCCTGGACAGGTCACCAGTCCATTGCATGGCAACAGGACAGGACAAACAGTCAGGCATGCACACACCCACACATAAGGAGAATTTAGAGAACTCAATCAACCCAGCAGTCTCTTTTTCTGGACTGCAGGAGGAAGCCAGAGTACCCAGAGAGAACACACATATGCACAGGGAGAACATGCAAACTCCATGTAGAGAACTGAACCCAGGGCCTTCTTGCTGCAAGTGAAGTGCTACCAACTGCAGCATGGCCAGTAGACTTTAACTCAGGAGTGTCAAACTCATTTTCATTTCGGGTCATATCAAGATCACCAATGTCCTCAAAGGGCCTTTTGTGACAGATTGTATTGGTAAAACTACCCATTAAACTGTTTAAATATTAATAAATAGTGTTCTCTGCATTCAATGAGTAAAAAGTATAAAGTTAAATAACATTAAATATCTATTCTCATAGATGTAATTTGACCACGTACAATTAAAAAGTGCTTTGATTTGATTAATAAAATAATATTTAACAAAACAACTGTTATATTTATGTGGCCTTCTTTAGCCTACACTGTAAACCCAAATTAGGAGTCATTACTAAAGCTGTGCATGGTAAGTCATTGCCCTGGGATGGTCTAGTTTTTACAAAATCAAAACCAAACTCATCAAGCTCTGTTTCCATAAAGTCTTGTGTCCAAAATAATCCATTACTAACGAACTCAAGGTTTCAAAACTGTAATTGATTCAACCATAACTCATGTTTATCAGTAATTACGACTCATGTTTGTTAGAATTACTCAATGCAATTTTTTTTTATGTAACAGTAACATTTTAAAGCTTTCACCATGTTAAATACTTTAAATATTAATACAAAACTATTAATAGGAGGGTGTTTCTGAGTCTAAGAGCCCAAAAATGAGACTCAGCTTCTGGCAGGTCCTCAGCTATTCCACAACAACTTCCTCCTCAGTAACACTTCTCAGGCTGGCCGGGTGAAGATCTGACGTTGGGGGACAGAAACCTTCATGATTCACTAACAAGATCCCAATGTCCATTTGGACAAAAGACTCAGGAAAATATACAACTTTTGCAAGGGAAAAGCCACAGCTTTCTATCATTTGGGCTTTTGTTCATGTGAACTTCAGGTTTAATTGTGTATATGTAGTATTAATCAATTTTGTTTTGTAACCAGGTTGCTATGTACTGCAGACTTCTGCCCAGGTCCCCCTTGAAAATGAGATTTAGATCTCAATGGGGTTTACCTGGTTAAATAAAGGAAATAAAAAATAAAAATAAAAAAAATAACAGAATGCTCAGAATCTTATACATACATCTATACGATGAAGGTCAGCTACAGTTCTGTGCAGAGGGTCTTTATTAGACTAAGTTGAAATCAAGCAAATTTACCTAATGATAATCATGTAGTTACTACATAACTATAACTACAGGTCCTGTGCCTGCAAAGTGACTAAATAGTTCATGTTTTCTAAATAATGAGAACTGAAGATTCTACACTGCTTCCTAGTTTTGCATCCATAAAATCAGAGCTACAGTGGAATGATTTACATCATTCATGTGTTGGAGAAGACAATTGTAAAAAATTCAGACTCTACGTGTACAAAGCTAATCGAGATACTTTATCCCAAAGACTTGCAGTTACAACTGAATTAAAAGGTGGTTCTACAAAGGACTGACCAAGAGGGTCTGAATACCAACGAACGTCCAACTTTTCAGAAATGTATTTGTGGAAGAAAATTAAAACCATACATTTCCTCATACTTCACAATTCTGTACTATATTGTGTTTTAGCTTTACTTCACAATCACAACAAAATACAATGAAGCTGTTTGACAATACATCAAAAATAATTTAAAGGTTATGAATACGTTTGTAAGGCATGCCTGACGTTTTTTCAAGGTGTGCAGGTTTTTTCTACGAAACACCTTGTGCCTAAAATGCTCCTATATAATTACAACCTCTAAATGTTTGCTGAGAGATTTTAATGTTTGCTTTCCTGTACCCAGTTAGATTAGCTCCACAGTAACTTTCCAAAATGGTTTATTTTGAATGTTTAAAAACTCCTTCCAGGTTGAATTGGATGGTACGGGCATTTCAGGGTGACATAATCCTGGATTATTAGTGGTCTTAAGATTCTCTGCAAATTTTGGCACATGCCTAATTAGGACTATGTTTATTATATTGCGTATATTAGCACTGAAGGCTAATATACGCAATATAATATGCTTTATGCTTTGCAATTCCCTTTGCAAAGCATAAAGTCCACATCCACTTCCACAGGTCAGGCATACTGAGCATGCTTCCAGACTCCACTTGTCTGATTTCAGGCGTTAGATCAGACACAGAGAACTGAGTTTCCATCCATCCCTTAGACATTAATGACCAGCGCTCACTCAGAGGCAGTCATGTTTATCCACAACAAAGTGGGAAAATCATTTTATTCTGCAGGGGGAAAGGACAAACAAGCTGATGACAAGCAGTTTAAACCTCAAACTGCTCAGCACTACAGCTGTGACTCCTGCTACTGTCTTTCTGAGGATCAAACTTTTTTTGCTGAACTGCATTGAGGCTGATTTAACCTCCATGATTAGTTCTTAAGAAGACATCTGCTGACAGCCACTCCATGCAGTATACAGTCCATGTTTTCTCCCTTCTGGCTATGTGTTTTTGGAGCTGAATCAGGATGAGGGACAGTGAGGGGTTACTGCAGTCCAGCAGCTGAACAAACATGGCCAGCCTGATATTGCACTAACCCCACTGAGTGCCATCTCTGCTGGCAATGGGCCTGCGCACAGTGAAGGTACGATTATGTATCTGTGTGACACAAAAGCTCTCACTGAGGGATTTTCTCGAAACACAAGAAAAACATCTGCGAAGCTTAAGCAGAAAGTGTACAGGTGCGGAGATGCTCAGTCACTTTGACACTGAGGGGGGGTGAAGAAACCTGTGTTCAGTTTGCAAACATGCAACCAGGCGTGCTGGCTCTAAAATAAAAGCGCCGTCTTACCTTGTTCTGTGAGGACGCGTCCTTACACAACACCAGCAGACAGGCCAACAAGTTGGTGAGTCTCCACATTTTCTCAGGGCAACTAAACACGAAGTGCAGAAATCCAGAGCGGAAGTCGCAGCGATCAGTCCCAGGGCTGGAGCGGTGCGTCTATCTGAACTCCATCTCCGCTTCATGCAGGTGACGGGCTTCAGGAGCACAGCGCGGATCTCTGCATGCCACTGGGCCGCGCTTTGAGGTCTGCCTTCATCCGAGCGCACCATCCATCATCCGGTGTCCTCCACAGATGGGAGGGCTCTGATACACACACCCACACGCACTCACGCAAACACACACACACGCACTCACACCGTACGCTCAGAGTACGCGCAACAGGCAAAGTTAGAAACTCAAGACAAAATGGTGTTAATGCGGTTTGAATTAGTTACGGCTATGTAGGCAGTACCCACGATGCCGCGCTGTAGCCACAGCTAATTAATTTATCATTGATAAAGTTAAGAAAAAATACTAATGCTTTAAGACTCCAGCTAAAAAGATATTTGGCGCCATCACCTGGCCAGTTCATAGAATACCAAGACCTGTTCGACCCGCTCTTTTTATTAAATTTCTGCTCCACGTTAGGAAGAAACACTGACAGATTATAAAGCTTCACCAACAGATACGTTTTCATTTTGTCATGGTGTCTAATCCCCCCCCCCCCTCCTACCCCTCATAAAATGTAAATAATACATTACAATACGACAGTATTATAAATACAGAAATGTTTTCTTATGGCCATATTACAGTCTAATCTTGAGTAAGACTGCAAACTTAAGCAGATCGTCACTGTCACCGACCATGAAGAAGAAAACATTTACAGTATACCATTAAATATTCATTTCAATAGCAAGAAATATTCACTGTTATTATTATTGCTAATATTATCACAATCGTGTTAAACAAAAATCAAGTCACTACATCAATTTGACATAAAAAAACTTATTTGTCTATTTCCAATGTGGTCTAAAGAACTAGTTATTCCAGCCAGCACTAGAATGTACAAACAAAGGCCTGGAAGTCAAGGGAGGTACTGTCATGAATCTGAGCAATTATTATCCATCCATCCATCCGTCCATTTTGCTTAACTCCAGCAGTCAGTGGGCGAGAGGCAGGGTGCAATCACAGCAACATCTATAAATGAAAAACATTAAAATAATAAGCACTCGCATTCAATTTCAAAAACTACACAACCATGACAAAAATAAGTGCTTTAGAGGCACAAAACTGACAATGTCCGATCATGCCACACCCTCCCCTTCATCTGCTTCTCTTTCGATCAGAGGGGGTGGGACACCAGCAGGTGCCACTGGTCAGAATTATTCAATGAATACAAAAATATGTGTTTTCTAAAGTTCAGATGAGCTGAAGTCTACTTAAGCAGCATGGGCTTGCCTCCCTGCTGCATTGATGCAGTAATTCATGCCTCACTTTCAATGACATGACACAAAAATGTTCTTTACAGAAAGTATCAATAACAAACATCTTTGAATTCTGATAGAAATATAAACTGGCCATCAGAGAACAAGCAGCATCCAAATGGTACAAATTCATTTATCAGACAAAGAGAATGTTAACATAAAAAGAACCATGTGGGAACCAATAGAAGAGCAGAACTCCTGCAATGTCCTCACAGGTCCGTCACACTACAGCATTTGTCAGTAAGGTAACCATGGTGACTTGGAAATTTCTGACCAATCACACAAAAGTTGTCAGGCACATTATAAGATAATTATCCTTCTTTTGTAAGGTGCAGCAGTGGGACTTGACCATTCCATAACACAAAATCTGCTCTGAGAGTTTCCACTCATGGATTCTGGTGATACTGCACTTCGGCTCTGGATTCAACAGTAGCTTTTGATACCAATGATCAGCTCAAGTCTGGAGCATGTGGGTGGAAATCTGTCATGGTTTCAGTCACACCTCACTGAGATGTTTTAGTGGTATTCTCTGTTATCTGAGTACAGACTCTGATACACTATCCTGGGGTGTACTACCGGGCTCTATTCTTGGATATGCCATTTGGAGCCATTTAAAAAAACACTGAATCTTTTTTTGAGATGATTGCCAGGTCTATTTACTCTTGAAAAGCAGGACACACTCCTAGGACCCTCACTAAATTTTCATAAAAATAAGACAAAGGTAATTTGGTTTGGGCCAAATGGCTGCCCATAGGACACCAAATTTTAACTTTTTATCTTTGGCACCCAGTGGGAAAACCCTGATAACAAATCTAGAAGTAAAAATTAACCCTCTCCTGAAAATGAACAGCCAAGTGACCTCAGGCGTGAATCTTGTTTTTAGCAGTTGAAGCAGCAAAGCTTAAATCTGCTGTTATCTCACAGGAGAATGGAGACAGTTATCCATGCTTTTATCACGTCTTGGCTTGTTAACTGTAATAGACTTCTTGATCACTTACATCTGGTTCTGAAATGTTTTTGACAGATACCAGATAGTGAGAGCACAATATGCCAATTCTAGCCGAACTCCATTGATGTCCAGTTGATATTAGGGTTCCATCTAAAATTCTCTTATTTGTTTTTTTTTTTTTTAATAAATTTGCTCCACTTTATCTCACTGAATTACTGCAGCCCAATTCACACCCCCAGGTCACCAGGTCAGATGCTTTTAAGAGTGTCTAAGGTTCACTGTAAATCCAGAAGTTATCCAGAGGTGAGCTGTTGCAGTGGTGGCTCTGACACTGTGGAATGGTTTGCCTCTACAAATTAGGCAGGATCCATCATGATTTTAAATCTTTTTTTTTTATTTTTTATTTCTGTGTTAATTTTTAAGTTCATTTATTTTAATTTCTGCTATTTGCAATATTTTACTTTGCTTGCTGTTCAACACTTTGATTAAGCTCATTATTTTAAGGTTCTTTATAAATAAATTTGACTGGGGGAATTTGAGAAAAAGTTGCTCTAAGTCTAAGAATATGAGAGAGAATATGCTTCATGGAGCATCAAGGATGCAAGTAAACTCTAACCACTTTCAAAGGATTTTAAAGTAAATGGAAGCAGCCATCTACTGCTGATCAAATGCAATGCATTTGATAATGTAGAAAACAATGTTGGGTGAAAACTTCACAAAGCATAACAACACAGACACTGGCTGTCGAGCAGGATGATAGAGGAATGATGGTTTGGAATTGTTTTGCAGCCACTTGTGAAGTCAAGCAGTTATTCAGTTGACCATGAACTCCTCTGGGTACCTGAAGTATTCTTGAGTCAAATGTGAAGCCATCTGTCTGACAGCTGCATCTTGGCCAAAATAAGGTCACCAACAGTACAATGATCTCAAACAGCAAACCTGGCTGAAAAAGAAAAGAAACAAGTCGTCGCTCTGAGTCAGTCAATGCCAGATCTCAACCTAATTGAAATGTTGGTGTGAGACCTTCAGAGAGTGATTTAGAAAAGAATCTCTACAAACCAAAGATAACTTAATCAACATTGCCTCACAATACAATTCAGAGGCCTGACCCTCTCTTACCTTGAGCTCACTCCACGGGTTTTCTCTGGGGGATGATCTGTGTCTGGTGATGTATTTCTGATTTGGCCAACGCTCATCACCCATTTTGAGTTTATTTGTAATAATGTACTCAATCACTACAATTAATCATAAATCACAGAGAGCTATGATTTACAGGATCCAGTTTTTTCAAGCTTAAGAGTTCATGAACAGCAGATCTTCATAGTCCATTAGAGGGAGAATAGTTGAAGTAATCAGTTGCCTTCTGACTTGGTGATGGTAGAACAGAAAAGGCTTTTTCCTGTCCTACCCCTGGTCAACTTAGCATAGACACGACAACGGTTGTCATGGAAAGCGCTCTTTGCTGCAGCCCCCTGCAATGGAGACCACTGAAGATTGTTCCCCTGTGTGTGGTGGCAAAAATAAATATTGGTCCTTGTCCGGCCAGTGACGGAAGCAAATTTATCTTTGTGTCATATTTGTTCTCCAGAGGAATAGGAAGTATAGAACTAATGGTTCTATGGAACTATTATGGAACTATTTTCCATTAGTATAGAAAATACTAATGGGGAGTGCAGAAATTCTTATCAGCTAAAAAAAAAATAGTTACATTAGTTTTGAAAAGATTGTTAGATACACTGACACCTGTCCCATTGGTACATATTTTCTAAGGTGGGAAAAAGTTGGTTTCGTCAGTATAAATATAGTTAGTTAGATGTAGTGAAGCATCCAGCAAAGGATGTTACACATGGTCTACTGAAAAAAAATCATAAAACACTCTTTCTATAAAAACGTTGACGCGAATTTGATACACAAAAGTTAAGACAAACAAAATGCTTTCGTCAGTTGTAGTCAACAACTGGGATTTCGGTAGCCAAGTAGGACACTAAACTTCACTTCCCAGAATTCCCTCAGGAAGAAGGCAGTTGGCTGTCGCGTGCGCTGGTGTTGCTTTCCAGTTAAGCAGAAGAAACTAAAATAGGCCCAAAAAACCCTGAACGTGTACAAACAACTCGGCTAGTTTAAACTGATTTCGCACAGAACAGGTTTTACATTTGTGTTGCAGTTCAAATGCAGAAGGTTGAGAAAAAAATGCTTTAATTCACCTGCGTTTACTTTGCTCAGCATACGCCTTTTCTAGTGAACTGAAAAGGTAAGGTCAGCTCTAATTATGTACAATTGAATTTACATTTCGGTTTTCTGAGTTAAAACTCGGTATTTTGATAAACACTTTGATTATAGCAAACTGAAAGGAATTATGTTCGCATTGCACGCGTGATATTTATTCTAACAATAAACCAAGCTTTTATTCGACAAAAGCTACTTAAGTTCCCAGGTTACTGAACTCCGCCCTCCTTTCAGACCTCAAACGCACCATTCCTGGGTGTGTGTGTGGATCCAGTAATTCCCTGCTGACTGGAAACAGTTCGCTGAAAGGCATGGGACCGCGGTCCGAGCGGTGACGCAGCAAAGCTGAGGACAGCTTGTTTCACTTCATAGCAACATCAACGTTACTGTCACCCCTCAACCCCGCCATCATCCCCCTGCTGTGTGGTGGTGAGGGGCAACGCTGGGCTGACTCCGGATCAGCCCGTGCTGGAGGATGGAGATAGAGAAGAGGACGAATGGGTTCGACTACCCGGAGAGAAACGACGCCAAGTCAGCGAACGGTAGGCTAGCACCGCACCTCCATCCAAAACACATGGCTGCATGTTTGATGAGCCTCTGAGTGTGTCAGTGCTGCTGCTGCTGGAAGCGTCTGCAAACTGTTGCTGAGGGAGACGAATGAATTAAATAATAAGCTGCATTCCTAGAACTAGTTTAGCGAGTGGGACGGAGTTTAGGTTTGTAAACTTACTCTTTCTGACCAAAGAGTAAAATTATAAGCAAAATTTGGTTTGTTACTCAAGAGGGAACGAATGAATTGGGGTTATTATTCCAACGTGTGTGTGTTTACTTGCTTTTTGAGTTGTGTGTGTGTGCGTGTGTGTGTGTGTGTGTGTGTGTGTGTGTGATTGCTGGAGCTGCTGGGAACAGAGGTCGGAATGTTTTTATTTGGAGGTGGTCAGTCAGGCCCGAGGAGATCGTAAAAGGTGAACTTTTGAACTTGGAGAAGGCCCTGCAGCCATTAGCTTGTTAGTCTCCCAAATCCGGACAGAACGAGAACGGGTTGACATGGAGGAATGGGTTCTACCGGGGTTCTGCTGCATGCAGCTTCTCACATGGCCCTGGTCTACAGTTTGCAAGGAAAAAATAAAATAAAATAAAATAAATATATATATATATATATATATATATATATATATATATATATATATATATATATATATATATATATATATATATATACACTAAA